TGACCAGATCTCACAGGAACTCATGTCACACGTGAAAGGGAGCAAGAGGGAGGCGGGGGGGGATGTGCCACATGATATTAAATGACCAGATCTCACAGGAACTCACTGTCATGAAGACTGCGCCCAGCCATGAGGGATGTTACCCATGTGACTCAGATCCAGACACCTTCCACCAGGCCCCGCCTCCGGCATTGGAGATTACAGTTCAGCCTGAGACTTGGGCGAGGACAGATCTCCAAAGTATATCAAGAAGCGTAGTTCAAATTATTATCTCATCCTGCACTGCTACAAGAGCTTTCTAAAGTATTTCTCTGCTCATTTATTACTCACTTTTTACAGAGTAGTCAACTGATCTTTTAAATGCAGAAGACTGAGATTTTCTGAAATTAAAAACCTTTAGCCTGGGCACGGTGGCTGACGCCTGTAATCCCAGCACTGTAGGAGGCCAAGGCGGGCAGCTCGCTTGACCTCAGGAATCTGAGACCAGCCTGGCCAACAAGTGAAACCCTATCGCTACTAAAACTTCAAAAATTAGCTGGGCATTGTGGCATGTGCCTATAGTCCCAGTTTCTCAGGAATCTGAGACAGGAGGATTAACTTGAACCCAGGACGTTGAGGCTGCAGCAAGCCAAGATTGAGCCACTGCACTCCAGCCTGGGTGACAGAGTAAGACCCTGTCTCAAAAAAAAAAAAAAAAAAAAAAAGTCTTAAAAATGTAAACAACTTTTTACCATGGTTTAGAGTAATTTGGTTCTGCTTTCATTCCGTTCACTCAGTGGGTTTTAGCTGTCCTGGCCTTTTTCTGTTTTTTAAACCCTGCCAATCCGGCTTCCTCCTCAGGAACTTTGTACTTGGTATTCCTTCTGTTTGGAGAGTTAATTTTCTTTTCTTTTCTTTTTTTTTTCTTTTTCTTTTGAGACAAAGTCTCAGCCAGGCTGGATGAGTACAGTGGTATGATCTCAGCTCACTGCAACTTCTGCGTTCCGGGTTCAAGCAATTCTCCTGCCTCAGCTTCCTGAGTAGCTAGGACTACAGGTGTATGCCACCATGCCCAGCTAATTTTTTGTATTTTTAGTAGAGATGGGGTTTCACCATGTTGCCCAGGCTGGTCTTGAACTCCTGAGCTCAGGCAATCCACCTGCCTCGGCCTCCCAAATTGCTAGGATTACAGGCGTGAGCCACCTCTCCGGCCCCATTTTCATCTTTAATGTCTCATTCTCACCCTACCTAAATGTCATGCCATAGTTATTTTGTATCCTATGAATTTATTTTTCAGTTAGGTAAAATCTTGCAGTAATAAAATTCAGATATAAAATAATTAGCAAGTGGCTTCCAAGTACCAACTTTATTATTATTGTTGTTATTATTTTTTGAAACAGTGTCTCACTCCATCACCCAAGCTGGAGTGCAGTGGCCCAATCTGGGCTCACTGCAACTTCTGCCTCCCGGGTTCAAATGATTCTCCTGCTTCAGCCTTCCTAGTAGCTGGAATTATAGGTGCTGGCCACCATGCCCAGCTAATCCAAGTGCCAATTTTAAACCTATTTTGAAAACTGTTCTTGGTTTCTGGTAATTTGCCACCAGTTTTCATGGGGAGGCCTGTTTTGGTTTGTTTTGATTCCGTTCCCTTGGCCCCATGCTTGGCCAATATTTCTTTTGAACCAGTATTGTGTGCTGGTTATCAAAAGAGAAAGATTGATGACATGGCAGTCCTAAAGCTCTTTAATTCCATGTCAGGTTTATGGGATGATTCAAAAAGTTATCTTTTGTTTGTTTTTTTCTAGATGGCTGGGAAGAATGGTACCAGCAAAACCAAGATGAGCTTGAAAGTGTTGAAAGGAGCTATGCTTGTAGTGTGTTGAGAAGACTTAATCTGAGCAAAACCCATGATTCTTCAAGACAAAGATTCTATAACACACATGGAAGAAGTTGGACCCAAAACTCAGCTTCAAGCAGAAGTTGTTTAAGAAAGAATCCTGATAAGTTTCATGGTTATGAAGAACCATATTTTCTTAAGCATCCAAGAGCTCATAGCATAGAAAAAAACTGTGTGTGTAGTGAATGTGGGAAAGCTTTTCGTTGTAAATCACAGCTCATTGTACATCTCAGAATTCATACAGGAGAGAGACCTTATGAATGCAGTAAATGTGAAAGAGCCTTCAGTGCCAAGTCAAACCTTAATGCTCATCAGAGAGTTCACACAGGAGAAAAGCCCTACTCATGTGGTGAATGTGAGAAGGTCTTCTCCTTCAGGTCACAGCTCATTGTCCATCAGGAAATTCACACAGGAGGGAAACCCTATGGTTGCAGTGAGTGTGGGAAAGCCTACAGTTGGAAATCACAGCTTATTTTACACCAGAGAAGCCATACAGGAGTGAAACCCTATGAATGTAGTGAATGTGGGAAAGCCTTTAGTTTGAAGTCTCCATTTGTTGTGCACCAGAGAACTCATACAGGAGTGAAACCCCATAAATGCGATGAATGTGGGAAAGCCTTTCGGAGTAAGTCCTATCTCCTTGTTCACATTCGAATGCACACAGGAGAAAAACCCTATCAATGCAGCGATTGTGGAAAAGCCTTCAATATGAAGATGCAGCTCATCGTACATCAGGGAGTCCACACAGGAAATAATCCTTACCAATGCAGTGAATGTGGGAAAGCCTTTGGTAGGAAGGAACAGCTCACCGCACATCTGAGAGCTCATGCAGGAGAGAAGCCCTATGGGTGCAGCGAATGTGGGAAGGCGTTCAGCAGCAAGTCATACCTTGTTATTCATCGGAGAACACACACTGGAGAGAGACCCTATGAATGTGGTTTGTGTGAGAGAGCCTTTTGTGGGAAATCACAGCTGATTATACATCAGAGAACTCATTCAACTGAGAAGCCCTATGAATGTAATGAATGTGAAAAAGCCTATCCTAGGAAGGCATCACTGCAGATACATCAGAAAACTCATTCAGGAGAGAAACCTTTTAAATGCAGTGAATGTGGAAAAGCCTTCACTCAGAAGTCGTCTCTCAGTGAACATCAGAGAGTTCACACAGGAGAGAAACCATGGAAATGCTCTGAATGTGGGAAATCCTTCTGTTGGAACTCAGGGCTTCGTATACATCGGAAGACTCACAAATGAGAAGTCAGAATGACGCACATGTGAGAAACTGTGTCACAGAAGCTGATTTCAGGAGACTTTAGATAACAGAGACAGGATTTACAAGCAGGAGGCCCTAAAACTACGCTCATGTCAAAAATCATGTAGGAGAGAGATCAGCCATATTTGGGATGAGTGTAAAAGCCTTCAGAAATGAGTTACAAATCTTTGTAGATGAAAATAATTGAAGGAATGAGGAGCAGTAAATGTATGAAATGTTGTAGCCTATTATGAAGGTAATCTGGTAAAGAATACCAGAGTATCCTCTTCTTGCTAAGAAATCCACATTTCTAAGTTATCCACATGAATAAATTAGGGAAGCATTTTCCCATGGAAAGCGTGTTCCGTGGAAAGTCACATTCCAGATTTGAAGCTATGTTTTTATAAAATAAAATCTCAGTTATAAACAGTTGACTTTTCATGGTAGAGTTTAAAGGTTGTTTGTTTGTTTTAATATGTAAATAAAGTAATGATCAGGAAAACCACAGGGAATAGATTCTTAAAGTTAAGGGATATTTAATGTGACTTCCCTGAGTTAACACTGAATATCATTTCTAAAATTTTTAGTATTTTATTTTTTAATGTAACTTGTTCTATATCTCTCTATATATTTGATAGTTTGTGGAATAACATCCCCCAGTATTTTCCATATTAAATACTAATTGTCTTTTTATTTCTTTTTCATAAGCAGAACTGGCGGTTTATTACAGAGCTGCTGCTTAAGAAAACTCATTGTAATGAACATTTATTATATGTTGGCAGTTCTGTGTGTGTTCTCCATTAATTGAGTTGAGCTCCCTTGTTTTCTCTGGAGAAATACCTCCCCTCTCTGGGGTGCTTCCTGTGGTGTCTTTCAGGTATCCTTTCCGCTAGCTACAGGTGAGCATTTTACCCATTGTTGGATAATGGTAATCTCTTTTTCAGAATTTGGAGTCTGTAATTCATTCACACATGAACCAGAAAATGTCAGAACTCATTCATTCTTGTCCCAGAATTCTGTTGAGACCATCCATTCATTCTGGCAAATTGATTACAAGAATAACTGTGGATGCTATCCCTTTAGAACCTGCTTCTCTTATCTGTGTGCTTCCTCACTTCTCAATAAAAATGTCTTGCTTTTTGTTGTTTGGGTTTTTGTTTTGTTTTGTTTTGCTTAATTTAAGGAGAATGACTTTCTATTTCTTGTAACCTAAGGGCTTTAATTGGTAAGTTTTTGCCTTGGTAGGGTGTAGTTAGCAAAGCGGGATATGTGATTTAGGTTTTTTTTTTTTTCCCCCCCAAGACAAGAAAATCACATTTATATTTGAAGATAGGAACTTTTAGCCCATCATGTGAAATGGTGTTACTGTTTCTGTACACCTAGAACATTGTAGTCCCTGATGGTGAGATTTTGGAAACAGTGAAGAAGTGTGGCCTTATAAGAATTTTAAATTTACGAGAAAATCTGGGACAGGAAAGGAGATGGCTGATTTTGGTCATGCCAGATCTTAGATCATGAGAATGACAGGCTTGAAACCCTGAGATCACATCTCAAGGTGGAGCATCAGAGTCAGCAACTTGGACGTTGCTGAAATAATTTCATTGTTAAAGGCTGAGATACGGTACATACAAATGCTGTAGGTAGTATAACCTCATTGTTAAAGGCCGAGATAAAGTCAAACCTCTCCTGAATTCCTGACAAACAGAAACCATCAGAGATAACACCACCTTTGTTGCTATTTGTGGTATAAATTTTGAGGTGGTATTTTAGACCATAGCAGTGATTGGAATAGAAATTTAGTGTTGGAAGTGGGGTGCTACTCATTTGCATCACTGCAGTTAGCACTGGATGATGAGCAGAATCTGAAAGGCCCTTGAGGAAAATATCAGTAAAGCCCAATGGGCTTTGGGGAGGGTTAGCAGAGTCCAAAAGTCATCAGGGAGGGCTTGAGGGAAGACAAGGAAAGCATTGAAACATGGAGAAAATGAGACTTTGTTATGCAGTGACAGGAGGTTTATCCACACTGTTACCTGCTATAAATGGAAAACAGAAAATGTACCTAATAACCTCAATGATATAGCTAAGTGTTTTCTAGGCATAGTGTTCAGGATGCTACCTGGCTTCTCATTGCTTATAATAAAATGAGAGGAAAGAGAACTAAAAGTGAACCATTCCATGGAGGAAATAATTAAATGGACCAGAACAGTCTTTTCAGATTGTAAAGTAAGAAAGCTCTTCAGGGAAAAGATGCAATCCAAGGCTGGCTACAGGACCCTCATAAGATTTCAGAAAGATCTAAATAGGTACCTCCTGACCCTCTTCAATGAATAATCAGAAAGGACTTCTAAGGACTTGAGGGAAGGCTTCCATGGGCCCTCTCTCATATGCAACAGAACTGCTAAGAATTTTAAGGGTGAGGTCCCACAAAAGGCCCACAGAGAGCCCATCGTAGAGAAAGTCTTACTTCTTTTGTCTCTCTCTGTTTTTTGGAGATGGAGTTTTGCTGTTGTCACCCAGGCTGGATGGTGCAATCTTGGCTCACCGCAACCTCCACCTCCCAGGTTCAAGTGATTCTCCTGACTCAGCCTCCAGAGTAGCTGGGACTACAGGCGCCCACCACCAAGCCCAGCTAATTGTTTTTTTTTGTTTGTTTGTTTTTGTAGAGACGGGGTTTCTCCATGTTGGTCAGGCTGGTCTCAAACTCCTGACCTTTAGTCATCCACCTGCCTCGGCCTCCCAAAGTGCTGGGATTGAAGGCATGAGCTACCATGCCCGGCTGGAAGAAATCTCTTATTTCTTAGGAGATTTTTGGGGTGTGGCTTTTGTTTAGTGGAATGGGTTGTACACAGATAGATAAAAATCCCACACACTTTTAAAAACAGTGATTCTAACTTGACAGATAGGGCAAACTGTATAAAAAAAGGTATTTGAACTCAACCTTTTTGCTCAGGAAGGAGGTTGAGAAGGATACTCAACTGCAAACATGTTCACATTTTATGAAAAACAATGGATGACTCAGCAGAACCAAGATCCAGAGAGTAGAACAAAGAGCCATGGAGAACTCCGAGAAAGCAGAACCAAGCCCTAATCACTCAACTGGTATTGGGACCCCAGCAGGATTTAAGGGTTTCTATGGAACAGCGGCTACTGTGTGCCTCCTCTTGTCACCACTTTTGAGTAAGAGTATTGACAGCTTTTCTGTGTCTGCCCCACTGTTATGTTATGGGTGTGTACGATGAAAATAACTTGTTTCATATTTCACAGGCATGCAGATTTGGAGAAATAGCACCTCAGGAACTGCGTCCAAGGAAGCAACCCTGCAGAGCCCCGTCTGCACCTGTAGCAGAGTTTGACGAGATCCTGGACTTCAATCTGATATTATAATGGGAGGGGACATCAGGGATCTGGGCAGACTGCTTCCAAAGATGGCAAAAGCAGTATCTCTTATTGCACATTCTCTTCTACAGCATGACTGCTACTTCTCCCATGAGAGTTGAGGTTGACACCAGCTCCTTGAACCTGGGTGGACTTGTATTTGCCTGTAGCCAAAAAAATGCAGTAGAAATAGGAAAGGTACAGTGGCTCACACCTGTCATTCCAGTGCCTCAGGAGGCCAAGGCAGGAATATTGCTTGAGCCCAGGAGTTTGCGACAAGCTTGGGAAACACAGTGAGACCCCGTTTCTATTTAAAAAAGAAAAAAAGAATGCAGCAGACACGAAGCTGTGTAACTTCCAAAGCTAGGTCATGAGAGGACCTGGAGCCCCGACCCCAGGCTGCCAGGAGGCTTTAGCCAGGGCTGCCTGCACACTCCACAAAGCAAGTGGGGGCCCTGCCCCCCCAGGCACAGGACCTGGCATCTCTGAACTCTGCATCCTCAGGCCCAGGTAGGACCCCTTCCCTCACAGGCTTGGGGATATCTGCTCCCAGCACCCACTCCAGTCTTGGAGCGCGGTTGGAGTTGAGCTCAGGCACTGTCACAGCCTAGCTGGATGTACACGTGCTCAGGGCAGCACTGACACACCAGCCCCCACCGCCTCAGACCTTCCAGACTTTGGTGCCAACAAGTGCAGGGAGAGGCCAAAGGGGGCCTGAGGGCAGCTCGGTGCTGGCCTACAGGTGCCCCTTGGTGTAAGCAGCCTAAGCGCCATGGGCAGTGGCAAGAGACAGGCTCCTGGGAGGAAGGGGGCAGGTCCCTGGTGAGGCCCCACCTTCAGGCCACGGAGGGTCTGAGGCTGGGGGCCAGGCTGCCAGTCCCATGAACTGGGAGTGGGAACTTATGGTTCCTTGTCCTGGCTGCCCATGGCCACCTATAAACCAATTGGCAAGCACTTCCTCCTCTATGAGACCCATAAAAGCCCCAGGCTTAGCCAGAGGTGAACAGATGGGAGGACCACCCGCCTGCAGAGAGGAGCCAGCCACTCTAGGGCCTCCTCCCTGCTGAGAGCTGAACACTCACCAGGACAACTAGCCGCAGAGAGGAGCTGCCCTCTGTGCTGGGAGGTGAACACTGGAGGGACACCCTGGCTGTAGATAGGAGATGCCCCCTGTGGGTCTCCTCTGAGCTGTTCTATCACTCAACAAAGCCCCTCTTCATCTTGCTCACCCTTCGCTTGTCTGCGTACCTCCTTCTTCCTGGCTGCCGGACAAGAACTCAAGGCCTGCTGAATGGCAAGGCTGAAAGAGCTGTAACACAAACAGGACTGAAACATGCCCCTTGCTCGCCACATTGTGGGCGAAGAGAAAGAGAGAAGAGCTTCAGTCCTTCAAGGAGCCCAGACCTGGGAGATCCTTGAGCCATGGCTGTGACTCCCTCTTTGGGGCCCTGTGGTTCTTGGCGTCTCCAAGCTTCTGGGCACCACCGCATTCTCTAGTGCCAGCCATGGAAGCTGCTTGTGGTGTGCCTAGCCCAGCCGCAGCCTCACAGAGGGCTGGCACCCATGCCAGCACCTGAAGCTGCTTGCCCCACAGCAGCAGCCAGCGTGTCTGACTGCACAGTGGCTGATTGCCATCCTTGCTCACACACCCCTTGCTGCTCCACACCTGACTCACAATCTCCCTTGGAGGTGTGGGATCTGGGTTGGTGGTGTGAGCTGAGCACAGTATAGCAGGCCATGTGGGCAGAATGAGCTCTTCGGGCACGAGCAAAACTCAGGCAAAGGTGCCACCAGCCACAGAGTTTTCTGACCAGAAAAGTGACACCCCAAAGATCCCATAACATTTTTTTTAAGATAGAGTTTCACTCTTGTCACCCAGGCTGGAGTGCAGTGATGCAATCGGCTCACTGCAACCTCTGCCTCTCAAGTTCAAGCGATTCTCCTGCCTCAGCCTCCCAGATAGCTGGGATTACAAGTGTCCACCACCATACCCAGCTAATTTTTAGTAGAGACGGGGTTTCACCATGTTGGTCAGGCTGGTCTTGAACTCCTGACCTCAGGTGATCCACCTGCCTTGGCCTCACAAAGTGCTGGGATTACAGGCGTGAGCCAACATCATCTTGTAAGAGCACTAAACATATTGGATCAGGCCCCCAGTCTCATGACCTAATTCATTAATATTTTGAGACAGGGTCTTGCTCTGCTGCTCAAGCTAGAGTGCAGTGGCATGATCATAGTTCACAGCAGTCTCAAACGTCGAGGCTCAGGTGATCCTCCCCCTCAGCCTCCTGAGAAGTTGGGACTACAGGCATGTGCCACCACGGCTGGCTAGTTAAAAGAATTTTTTTTTTGAGATGGAGTCTCGCTCTGTCACCAGGTTGGAGTGCAGTGGTGTGATCTCGCTCACTGCAACCTCTGCCTCCTAGGTTCAAGTAATTCTCCTGCCTCAGCCTCCCTAGTAGCTGGGACTACAGGCACCTGCTACCATGCCCAGCTAATTTTTTTATTTTTAGTAGAGACGGGGTTTCACCGTGTTGGCCAGGATGGTCTCGATCTCTTGACCTCATGATCTGCCTGCCTAGGCCTCCCAAAGTGCTGGATTACAGGCATGGGCCACTGTGTCTGGCAAAAGAATTTATTTTAGAGATGGGGTCTTGCTATGTTGCCCAGTCTGGTCTTGAACTCCTAGGCTCAAGCAATCCTCCTGCCTCAGCCTGCCAAAGTGCTAAGATTACAGGCATGAGCCACCACTCCTGGCCTCTCATG